CAGGTGCCCTGCAGCCCCCACCGCTCCGCACGGGTACAGTCTGTGTCTGCCAGCAAAGAGACCCCCAACACCGCAGCCCGGCCCCTCTCTGGGGCCAGCTCTGTCCGCCTTTCACAACACAGAGCTGATCTTCCTCTCCGTGGCACCCATCTCATCCTCCTCCTCTTCTTCTTCCTCCTCGCCCCCTGAGCAGGAGGAGTCCGGGCCGTAGCCCAGCTCAGCAGTGCTGCGGTGCAGGAAGCCCGAGCCGGGGCTGTGCCCCATGAACTCGGGGCTTTCAGCAGCTTGTCCCTGGGGCTCGCCGGGAAGCAGCTTCTCACAGGCTTTGCTGAGCCCTCGTTGCTTCTCAGCCTCCACCTGAGCCCCCTGCTCCTTGGCTTTGCGGCTCCGCTTCCACTTCATGCGGCGGTTCTGGAACCAGATCTTCACCTGCCGAGGGAGAGACCCCAGGGGAGAATGTGTCCCCCTGCCCCATCCTGTCCCCACTCGCCCCCTCACCTTCCCTGCATGGAAGGCTCCCAAAAACCTCTTTATTTCAGGGCATCCCGTGGTGCTGTGGGTCTGCGAGGAGGCTGAGGGTGTCACAGGGAGAGGAGTACCCAGGGGTTGCTCCCTTCCTCCTGCCCAACCTCCACAAGGGGATTCAGGGATAGAGACGACCAGCAATCCCCCAGGATGCCAAGGACATGAGCAGGGACATTAAAAGAGGATTTTTAGCCCCACAAAAAAACCCCTCTCACAGTGTGGGAAGGGATGGGAAGGCTCTGAAATCTAAGTTGTGGGTGGTGGGTAAAAAGAGGAGCTGTATTTCTGGGGGGTCCTTCAGGAGAGAAGATCCTGGAGCCTATCAGGCAGGTCTTTGCAGGACGTACCCTGGGAAGGGGTGCTGATGGGGGCAGTGGGGTATGGGGGTGATGGTAGCCAAGTGAAGGGCATCACCATTGCCCATAACCTTGACATCCCTCCTCACAGAGCAGCCCCCCCACCTCCCTGGCAGCCAGCCAGTGCCATCCTCCATCCCCCCCAGGACCAGGGTACCTGCGTCTCAGTGAGCATCAGTGACGTGGCGACCTCAAAGCGCTTGGGTCTGGACAGGTATTTGTTGAGCTTGAACTGGTTCTCCAGCTCCAGGAGCTGCTGGCTGGTGAAGGCTGTGCGGGGGCGACGGCACTTCCCCATCAAGCCAGACTGTGGGGCAGCTGCAGGGCAGACAGCAGGCAGGGGTCAGGGGAGGGTGGGGCTGGGGACCGAGGGGGACATCCCCTCATGAAGCCTGGGATGAGGAGGAAAGTGAGCGTCTCTTCTATCATCTCCCGCCCCAATAATGGCTTTATTGCCTGGCTGATAGGAACCAGCGAGATACGTTATCAGGCCCTGGTGTGCAACTGGGATCAGTCCTGTGACTGAAATTAAACCTCCTTTTTTATTGCCAGGCCGCGCAGGTGGCTGCCGGAGGCAGGGGGAACAAAGGCACCTTTGAGAGTCCAGCGTGGGGTGGCTGCCGCGCCATGTTTGATCCCTCGCTTATCTCCTCTCCGCTGGCTTTATTGTCCCCCCGGGGTTCAGCTTTTACTGCTTCTCCCAGCACCACAGCGCCGATTAAACCCAGAGGTTTGCAGCTGGGAGTAAAGTGCCGGTGCAGCATGGCGGGGCATTAACGGGAAAGGTCCTTGGCATGTCCCCGCTGCTGCATCTTGGGGGGCAAGATGGAGCACCGTGGGCCCAGAGATGTGCCCTGCTTGGGAAGGGTCACCCCAGCTTGCCTGCTTTGCAGGGCACGGGGCATCATCCATGTTATCTCCCCCAGACTCCAGCTTTGATCCCAACCTGCCCATCTCCCCAAGGTGTCCACCAAGCCCTTCACAAACACAGTGGTGACGCATGAAGCAGGAATTTATGAAGGGAGCATTAACTGATCACAATCCAGGTTTTATCCCAAGTACCTGGATGCTGGGTGGGATCGGTCAAACAGACTGAGACATGACCCCTCCTGTACCAACAGACCCCCAGTGCCAGGAGAGACAATCCATGGGACTCAGCTTGCAGCCACTGGCCAGTTAAACTTGGGACTGAATAGAGGCACGCTGGGCTGATGGCTCTGACACACACACAGTGCATTGTTTTGCACACAAAACATACTCAAGGCTGAAACTAAACGAGAGGCTCAAAGGCTTGCCGGGACAAATACGAGATGGCTCAGCTCTGCAGAGCTTGGCTGCTGTCTGTGCTCTGGCTGGCAGAGGATGATCTGGCTGTACATATCCTCAGTGGAGACATGAGACCAAACAGACCCAGGAAGGCTCTCCTCAGCTTGAGGAAAGGACATGCCATGGAAACCAGCATCTGCAGCAATGGGGCAGCCCAAGCTAACACCCCTTGCAGCTCCTCAGGGCTGAAGACCAGAGATGCATCAGAAAGAACTGGAGGGGAAATTCATTCACCCAACGTTGGCATGGAGCACCACACAAAGCAGCCCCAGGCAGCATCTGGCAGCTCAAGGGCTCCAGCAATCCCTCTTTGCTGCCAGAGACCAGAGGGTGCACTGGGGCACCCGGTGCCTCGGTCCCTCCCTGAAGCAGGGGCTGCTCTGCACAGGCTGGCTGTACCCGGTCAGGGAAGGGTCCCTCTTTCTGGGCATGGTCTGTAGAGGATGCTTCAGGGAAAGGGAGGGGAAGAGGGTGTGCCCACATCCCAGCATCCAGTAATTCAGGACTTCTGTGCTTTTTGGAACTGGAGGCTGTTTTGCCAGCAGTGAAAAAAATATGCTGCAGCCTCAATTCCCCACCCTAAAGCAGAGAGACCAGGGCACTGCACCCTGGCTCCAGGGAGCACAGAAATCCTTCAGACCACCCCGAAAGGCTCCTCTGTGCCTCCTCCTGCAAGGCCAGATGTGCTCAGACTAAAAACAGATGTGGGAAGAGTGGAGGCACAGAAGTGAGTCTCAACCCCAAAAGCTGGGGGAGTTCAATCTGTATAGATTCAGAGGAGATTGGAAGGCAACTTCCTTTAACAACACCCCCCCAAGGGACTCACTTTTCCCGAGGTAAGATGCTGAGGACTGCTTGGTCCAGCAGGTAAAAGAACAGAAAGTTTGCCCAAAAGCCAGATAAATCCAAATGTGGTATATCCAAAATAACTGCCAATGCAGGGAACTGACCGCTGGAGCACGGTCCCTCTGCCAGCCCCAGGCTCTCCTTCTCAGCATCTCCAAATTGGGCTCAGTGCAGTGGTGTCCATTACAAACCTTGTAGAGATCCTGGCTTCCCTGGAAATCCACCCTGACTCCTGCCCCTATGCTGACAAAAAAAAATCCCTCAAACCCTTCTAGGATGTAGTGATACAGTTCAAGCCATCTGCAGTCCAAAGCCCAGCCTGCACAGGTATAGCTGGCTGCCTAACCTGTGACATCCTCTGACAATACACCCTGCAGCAGCCACTACTGCCCATCACCACTGCTTCCCACTCATTCGAGGTTTTGCCTGCAGATGAGATGGGGCGAGCCCAAACCAGCACAGCCTTAAGATCCACCTGATCTTCGGCCACCCACAGCAGCAGCTCAGGATGGACCTGAACCACCACCATCTCTGGCCTCAGACCTGCTGTTGGCTTCCCTGAAGGGCTCTGGCTACTTTGCGTGGGGAGAGTATGGAGGAAAGAGGGTCTTCAGCTTCTCATTGAGGAAGGAGCAAAGTTAGGATGTGGCAGGGGAGCCTGAGTGTATGAGATAGGTTCCAGTTTCCCATGCAAAGAGGGAATGATGCCTTGTGGCTGGTGGTAGCTCCAGCCTGTCCTGCCAGCGTGGTTGGTGGAGTCCTGTCCTCCCCTGGTCCTGCAGCAGGCCACCACATGGACACAGACATCATCCCCCCAGGGCTTGCCTTCCCCAATCCCTGCCAGCTGAGCTATGAACACATCCCCATCACAACCACCATCCCACAGAAAGAACAACTCTTCAGGAAGGCTCTCCCCCTTAGCCCAGCTCCTGCCAGAAGATCAGCAACTGCCTCAGCATCACGCATCGGTTTGCCAAAGGATTTTGCATCTGCTCACCCATCTCCTCCAGTCTGACATCCAACATCAGAGTTCATCTCAATACCCCTTCAGCCTGGCAGGGCTCGGACCCCCTGATGGGTGCCCAGCATTTGGCTGCAATATCAGTAGATAAATTGCTTGGCCTGGAGCTGGGAATGCCCTCCAAGTCTAAGGCCAGGAGCTCTACAAGTCAGCTGCCTCCTGGATAATTAGATAAAGCTTATAAAGAACTGTTGGTTTATTTGATACAGTTCCGTCTACTTGATAACAAGGGTAATCCTAGGTTGATATTAACCCACTGGGATTTAATTTGGTTTGTTTAGCTATAGTTCACTTAACTTTGTGGGCTAGCAGATAAAGAAGAGGAAATTAGCACCCTGTCTGCTTTGGAGGTGTTTCTCCAGATGTCAGGGAGGAGAAAGAGATGGCCTCACCAGCATTGGGGCCATCACCAGAGGCTTCTCCCAGCCTGCTGACAGCCTTGCCCGTTGTCCACAGGGCAGCATGTGTAAGGGCACTTGCTACCTCTGGTAGCCCCCTGCTTGCTCCACCATTGACTCCCAATTGCTGCTTGCCAGCTGTTTTCCAGCCCATGTTCCTGCTGACACCAGACCACTGTGCACCTGGTGAGCCTTGGAAAGCATTGCTTTTTGAAGCAGTCTGATAGGACTTGTCTTGCCCACTATCCCAGCCCAGCACAGCCCATCAACCAGCTCTCCACTGCTGCGGGCAGGATCTGGCCTGGGCTCCAAGCCATCAAGGTGGTGGGCATGTGATGCAGACAAGCGGTGTCCCAGGAAAGCCGCTTGAGCACCAGGTCCCCCGCAGGGAATCCTTTGCTCTTCCAGAGAGCCTGTAGCTGGATGTCACCGCCCTCTGCTCCCACAGCTCTCCTCTGCAGCAGGCGGGTCTCTGCCCTTGGCTCCATCACCACGCTGCATTTCCATGCTGCTAGCCAGGGCAGATAAATCACAGCTCCCAGAAATACTGATAGGCATAGCACCCTGGTGCCAAATCCTCCCCCTGTGTAGTTTAGGAGGTGCTAAAAGCCCTAGGACAGGGACCCTTGCTGGGGCCAGTGGAGCCCAGGCAGGCAGCATCCCAAGGGTTGCAGTGAGGGCATGCCTGGTCCTGCACTCGGGCCTTCCCACCCAGCCCTCTGCATTGCAGCAGAGGCAGCCAGGCACAGGCTGCAGCTCCGCAGAGGCAGCTAGGAAGGAAGGCACAGCACCCGCTTGCACTTCTCTGAGCAGCCCCAGCAGCCGAGGCCAAGACAGGCTCCTCAGGGGACCCACTGCCTCCAAC